GAAGAGATACATTATTTCTCTGAAATCTCTTAAGAAGCTGCGTTTGCGCTCAAAATTTAGGAATCATAAAACTGTAATACAGAAAACTCGCACGTGCTGAGTACTCAATCTATAAAAAACAAGGGTCATGGTAAACGAGACGATAAGAAAAGCTGAGCTCAGCAAAGAATCTTCACTCACAATCATGCAGACGATGCGGACTCGTACCTTAAAGCCTCTCATGCACAGAAAGGACTTATAAACACCTTAACTTCTATTCCACTGGGATATTGTGGTTCATCACGCCTCACCTCGTTGTTTTTCACAATAAAATATTGCATTATAACAATTTAACTGCAACAGATAGGCCTACGACTAAAAATCTCAAAGAAAGATGCGTTCTCAAAAAGACGAGGCTCTGCGGTTTAGTGGCGCTCATACAGACGCGTTACACTGGCTCAGCCTCTGTGACATCCGGCTTTAATAAGAAAAAACAGGTGGTTTGTTTCGAAAAACCACGTAACGTCACTTCCGTGTTACTAGTTTATATGCCTGGCTTGATCCACTAGATTTCAGCAAACAAAGATAATCGAATAAAGAGCTACTAAACTAGAGGGAGCTGTTGATATTGTGATATTGTGAGATGGGGAGGGCAGTTGGGAGATCTAACTAGACACAAGAAATCATAAATAAGAAAAGTCCTAAGGAAACACTGGCTCAAAGACATCTGTTAATAAAGTAATTATCATAAATCAGTTATCATTTGATTTAGTTGGGCACTTATCTTGAAGTATTATTTAAATTCAACCTTAAATAATGGCCATCGACAAAAAAAAGCATGTTAGGGACCCCTTAAAAAGTCTGCAGACTTTGTCCTTTGAACTTCTCTTATAGATTTCATTTCAGGAATTATTAGGTAGTCATCATAATGTCTCTGGAACTTTTTGATGTACTTCAAAGTATTTTTATTTAGTTTAAAACACTTTTAAGTCAGATATTTTAGACCTGACAACTGTCATGATATGCGTAAAGTTGTTGTTTAAGGTGCAGTTCATGTGGAAGCCACAGGAGGGTGGTGTTGAGCGCATAATAAAAAGTGATAGCAAAACCTAAAAGACTGTCATGTCTGCTCCCTGAAGCAATATCGTAACAGCAACTACATGCAGATTTTTTTTAAATAAATATTTTCCATACAAATTACGATGTTATTAAACGGAATAAACCAGGTCTTTTTAAACCTTTCTGGATTGTTACTTCTTCTATTAACTGCTCTTTGGAGTTTGAATCATTTCTTTCATGAACTATGTGAGGCAGAAAGACGTTACAGATTCCCCTATTTGCTGATTCATGCATGGTTACCTCCAAGTCTGTGTTTTCACATTTAGCAATCATTGTATTGTTTTTGACGGTTACGATTTTTTTTATTTTTTATCTTGACAGTTAATCCCTTCGTTTCACTTGACAGGATGCTTCAAGTAAGCGTGCAGCTGTGTTGCAGTGGCTTAGTCATGAGTCACTCTTGACTAAAAGGTTTCTCTTTCCATCATTATACCCACACCGTCTCAGCGCCAAACTGCTCAAAACCAATTAGTTGCCCTAACTTAGTCATCTTAAGTAAGTTTTACTCAAATTTTTTGAGGCAACGAGTTTGCATAGTTTTTTAAGTTCTGGGAACTAATGAAATTTTACAGTGTATGTGTCAGTGAAATTTTCTATGATATAGACGGTACTTTCACACACTGTCTTGTTTCCTTAAGGGTCATCACGACAAGTGCATCTGCATATTTGATATGGCAGTTTTGTTTGGTTTATTTATTTTATTAAAATTCTAAATGCACTTCCTGATGCTCCTGTCCCATACAGGCTGGGGACAGACAAAAAACTGGAAATCTTTTGTAAATTGGTAACCACTACAGTATGGCGACACATGCAGTTATCTATAATAAAGAATCCAACAACACCTGGGATTTATTGTCACACCTGCAAGTGAGCTCAGTTTTCAGCTTAAACAATGTTTTTTTATTTGCACAGACAGACAGATGTTTTTTTGATCCCACACGGGAATTTGCAACATGATAAAAAGTAAAAAATAGTACTGTCTACAATTCACAAGAAATAAACAACACAGTTATAGAAAAGTGCCTCTTGGTAACAGGCTTATACTGTGAGATAGAGTAGGAATTAATACATTTACAACAGAGATAAAAACCAAAGAACAGTAACAATTAAGTTAGTAAAAAAACAGTGAAGGTAAGACTGACAGAGTGTAAGAGAGAAGTGCAAATTTCATTAATAAAAAATATTTATACAGTAAATATAAGAAGAACAGCTGAATGAAAGTAAAATATAAAATATGTTTGGGCTTTTGTCCCTGGCAGGTGTGATCACGTGTCACAGAATGAAGAGTTATTAACAGCTTCATAGAGAACGGTAGGAGTGATTTCCTGTAGAGTTCTTTATGGCAGCAAGGTTTAATCAGTCTGAGGGGGAAGGAGCTCTGCTGCCTCAGAAGTGAGGAGTGGAGCTGTTGTGATGGGTTGTCCATGATGGAGGGCAGTTTGTTCAGTGACCTCGTGTCCCTCACTCCAAACACCTCCAATTTCAGACCAATGATGACTGCGGCCTTGCAGATTAGTTTCTTGATCCTGATGGCATCTCTGTCACCGATGCTGCCCCTCCCCCCAAGTAGACAACAGCAAAATAGATGCCATTCACTAACAACACCTTACTGCTTCTTCCTACATTTTATTAGTGAAATGAATAATTGTGTTTTTCTGTCAATGATTTTTTATGGTAAATGACCTTGTCATCTGCATACTGTACTGTGTGAGGGTTTCCTGGAGTAAACTTGTAGGGTAGCAATAGGAAACATGTCATTGGAACAATTTTTACAGTAAGTATTGTGCTGGAGTGAAGATGCTTTGAAAGTGCCTGTACCTGTATCATTTAGCAGAGGTCACGTTTATTTCTTGGTACATTTAGATTAGCTTCTATTATGAGTTTCCTGGTTTGAAACAGTCCTGACTGCTACCTGTCGATCATCCACACTAGATGTATTTCCAAAGAAGCCTTGGGTCATTCAGGCCAGTCGATGCTTCTTCCTTTCTCTGACTGGATTTTTTAGAAGATGTGTTGGATGAAAGACGAGGTAGAGAAGAGTGTGTTCACAGCTATCCCAAGTTTGGCCAACAGGCAGTAGATTCTTGGAAGCTTGAATCACATTGATTTATGAAATAGTGGTCTAAATGCTTTCTTCGGCCATCATGATCTTCTGTTACTCCTGCAGCATGGATCAGCTGTGGCGTGGTGCCCAGGGATTTAAAAAGCAGAAAGCTTTTAAGATTATTATGGCAGCCGTTGTGGTTTTCTTCCTCTGTTGGAAGCTGTATAATATCACACGCTGAAAACATTTCATTTTGACACAAGCAACAAAGCTTGTTCAGTCACAGCATCTGATTCTGTATGCCTTCGTGGGTGTGGAATTCCGGTATCGGCTCCTGAGCATTCCCAGGTCTCTGTGTTCTGGTCAATCTGACCCCCCATCCCCTTCCTTGATGTCAAACAAATCTTATCAAGTCTACAAAACGGACATGAATGGACACGAAGCCAAAAACATCAGCACATCCATTGTATGTTTGTATATTTTTTGTGTTATATAACCTGAAAGAAGAAGTGGCTACTTTGTTTTCTGTATGTTACACTGCATTTATTAGCAGTGTAACATAAACCTAGCACAATCAAGTCTGTTTGCAGCATTAAAGTACACCCACACAGCCAACAGACTAATTAAAGGAATCTTTGGTGATCATTCTATGAAATTGGACTCACTTGCTGATAAAACCATTGCGTTGGAAACAGCTGTAAAAACAGTGCACAACTGTTGAAAAAAAACACAGAACAGTTGATAAATTCCTCTGTGTACTCCATGATTCAGGTCCCGTTTGAAGCCTCTAGTTTGTTTGATTTACTTTATTTGGAGGAATGACGGCAGATGAATTAGCTTTCATTCACCTTTTTGTTGAAAATAACCTAAAACTTACAAAAAATAACTTGGTAATACACATATATGTAAGACATCAAACCTAAAACTCAAACCTGTAAAAATATGTACAAACAAACATAATTAAAAACATATAACAAAATCCAGAGTAGAAACTGATGAAGAAAAGTACAAATTGGGGTTTGCTGTAATTCTAAGTGACTGAAAGCAATCCTTTGAACCTCTCCAAATAACACAAGTGGAGGTGTACATCTCCACTTGTGTTATTTAGGTGAGTTCAGTTAAGGTCTGTTCATTTTTAGACATCCTTTTAAAAATAACAGGATTTCCAGGGGATGTCGATCCCACCCTGAACTATACCCTTTATAGTCATCAGGTGAGGATTTTACTTACAATACTAAAGGCTAAATTCATTTTCATAGACAAAATGCTTATTTTTCATATAATTAAATTTTGTCTTAAAAAAAAAAACTCTTCATCGTAAAAGTGAAAACATCTTTCAAAATTCAAATTTACTATGCGCAGTTCATTTTAACATGTCTCCATTGTGCTCCAAAAATGCTTTATTTAAAACAAACTACGACAAAATAACTATGGATAAAAAAGCGATATGGATATTTGTTACATTTTGGTATATATGGAAACAACAACAAAACAAATCTGCAGAAGATATATTAGAGGTATATAAGACATGCAGAGAGATTTTTTTTTTACAGTGCATACTGCAAGAAAGTAAATGACGTGTGGTGAAATTATGGCCACTTTTTCCTCTGTCACTAGTTTATACAAATGAAGCTTATGTGCAAGTTCAATAACGAAGATCTGTATTCACTCATCCTGGGTCAAAGTATTCACCAAGTAGCTGAATTCTGTATTTTAACCATGATCAGTTTTTTCTCCTTAGCTCTCAGCGTAGTAAATAAGCACATATGCACAGTTCTATTTTATTCATCTCCCAGAGATTTTTTAGGGTTTTTTATGAATATGAAAATTGAAAAACACAGGCTGCAGGGCTGAAAGCTGTAAAAGCTTTTCTATTTAATTTGTGGCATAATAACAATGCATGTATTCTGGAAATGCTGTGTATTGCTGGTGATAATGAAGACCACCATTAGGGCTGTAGTAATAAAGCTTATGTGTAAATTCAATACAGAAGATCTGTAATCACACACTTGCCTGCTTTCCTGGGTGTGTCTACTGCTTTCCCACGCTGCTAATCTCACAAGTGACATCATTATTCTAGTCCAATCATCTTCACACTCGCCTTCTTTGAGCCAATCAGCGTCTGCTTCGGTTTAAATCTGTCCACTCCATCATTCTCCCTTTCAGACTCTCTTTTATGCAACTCACCTCCTCCCCAGCTACACCTCAGACACCTTAGCCAGAGCTCTACTCAACCCTCAGTTTTCATCTTCACCACCTCCACCAGTGTCTAGACTCTGAGGGGATCCTGTTAAAAACTCAATCACTGGGATTCGGTTCTGCCATGATGAGTCATTGAACTCTAATCACCAAATACATTATTTTCTCCATCTCAATAAATCATGCTTAATCCTTACAAGTGATCTCTCCTTATTGAAAAAGCATTGATGCTGATCTAAAAAGTGTTTATGGTGCATGTTAGTGATTTTTTAATTGTTAAATTCTGATGAGCTGTATTAACAAATTTAGCAGTTTGAAAAAAGTGAAAAACGTTTGTTGACACATCTGTAACATCATAAAAACAATGCAGTTTTAAATATAAAACACATCTTGTACAAACTTCAGCAAAAACAAAAACAAAAAAATCTGATAAAAATGTAAAATTAACATTTAAATGAGTAAATATGTTTTTAAATGCTAAGTTTACTTTTAGTTAAAAGGCTGTTCCAAAGTATTTGTGTGTGTTTGGGTGCAAAAAAATAATGTAAATAAATAATGTTGCTGAATAAAAAGTAATTGACATCTTCATCGTTTCAAGCAGAGTCAAAACAGAGCACAGGGATGGGCAACTCCAGGCTTCGAGGGGCCGGTGTCCTGCAGGTTTAAGATGTGTCCTTGATCCAACACAGCTGATTTAAATGGCTAAATTCTCCACAGGCCTGGTAATCATTCATTTCAGGTGTGTTGACCCTGGATGATATCTAAAACCTGCAGGACACCGGCCCTCGACGCCTGGAGTTGCCCACCAATGACATAAAAAGAAACATGAAACTATGTTTATGGCAATAAAGTTACAAAAAGTGTTTATGTGTTGTTTAATGTAAGAAGTCAGTAATACTATCACAGATAACAGTTTGCAGTATATCAACTTTCAATGGTTACAGCGTTAGCTTAATGATAAATGTGTTAAAATCAGTTCACTAACAGCACAGATATTTCACTATTGATTAAAAAAAACTATATATTTTTATTTAAAATAATAAGAAAGAGCTACATTTTGTGCTTTTGGATTAGTATGAGTCACCATGATGGATCTCCAAAACCTTAGCATTATAGTGAAATGTGAAAGTAGTTTTTGTAGATAAATATCTACTTGTCAGTTACACAGAATAAAGTCCTCCATGCGTTGACATGAGATTGAATTCATATCCTCTCAGGAGTGAAACAACATGCTGCTCACATCTGAGTCAGAAGAGAGCATATTTCTCTTTTCATCTTCAATAAGCTAACGGATTCTCTACAACCGTCACCTGTTTCAGCTCTTGCTGTTGATCCTGATCGTGGTCAGGCTGCTGTCTCTGGCCTACACCAAGATCCCAGAGTGAGCCTTTTGGTTCAGTTTTATTACATCTCAGCATGGCCAGTAAGTGTTGCCTGAAGTTTCCACACAGGCCGAGATACAGCAGAGGCCTCAGGCTGGCGTGAAGGCAGCCTAACGCAGAGGTGACCATGAGAAGGGTTTTTAGTGAACTTTCAGAACCTTCCTGTGAATCGTTAGGAGGATCCCGAAGTCTGTTCTGGAGAGTGTCCAAAACAAGTATGAAGTTGTACGGCATCCAACACAGACAGAATACGACCACCAGAGACAGGATGACGGTGACATTTCTCTGGATTCGGGCCCCATTAGAGCTGCACTGCCGCCATAGCATATGTGAGAAGATCATCAGCATGAATGCAGGTAGCACCAAGCCAAATATGTGGTGGAGCAGGCGTGACCACAACTGCCAGTCAGTTCCAGATTGAGGGTAAATATTAACACAAGTATTATCTTCTGTGTAATTATTTTTACCCACCAGGAAAATCCAGTCAGGTGCAGTGAGGAGGACAGAGATAAGCCAGACTAACAGGCAGCTGATGTGAACTAACCAGTGCCTCCCGTGGGAATATAACTGGATGTCACGGATGGATGACAGATAGTTTTGAAGACTGATGCAAACCAGCAGAAAGATCCCACAGTAGTAGTTGAGCTAGAAGAAGACAGGGAGAACTTTTAGTGTAAGATACAAACCTCTAACATCTATAAAAATTACACTCGACTTCTTCACTTTCACTTCTGTCCTACTCTAAACCTCTGTATCTAATCTTGTTCTCATCTTAAACATGTTTTAAGTACTCAGAGGATGTCACGTGTCATCCTGTTGAGTATAATGATTCTGTTCTGCATGTTCTGCCAAGAATCTACAAAAGAGCTGGAAATGACAGAGTGCAGCCAAATATAATCCAAGCCAAAACAACTTTCTCACAGCTTCACAGAAAATGTATTACTTTCACTTTCAGTCTCTATCTGTTCCACACAACATCTGGTCCTTACCTTGAAAATGACCCCAAAGACCCAGCTGAAAATCCCCCAAAACCAGTCACAAAGCTCAGTTGTCTGTGCAGCCCAGAAGGGCAGCATTAACAGGAGGAGGATGTCCGCGATACTCAGGTGGAGAATAAAGGTGTCCGATAGGCTCCACAGTCTCCTCTTTTGAACCAGAACTGTCAGGAGAATAATATTTCCCAGGATTCCAACAAAAAACACTATGGAGTACAGAGCAGGGACCCACACTGCCTCACTGCCTCTTTTCACAAAAGACTCATCCCCTGGATAGTCATAGGTGATGTTAGGGTCATAGTCAATTCCACTGTACACATCCAGATCATCTGTACTCATATTCATGTTCTGTTGAACCAAAACAAAAAGTTAAAACACATGTGTTGAAACACAGAGAGAAGACAAAAGTGCTGCAGTGCCTCAGAAGCTCTATGTTAGAATAGATTCCTCTCTCTTTCTTTCTCTCTGGGTAAAAGTGAAGTCAGTTCCCTGACATTTCCCTTTGGGAAGCCCAGATGAGCCTTTATAATACATACACAAACACATCACAACTCATATGGTGTGATGTAGCAATCGTGGAGTGGACATAAAAGGAAAGTACAGTACTCCGTTTCCCTTTGGTAAGCCCAGCTTATAGTGAATGCAAAACATACAACAACTCACATGTTGTGATTTAGCAATTGTGCGGCTGACATAGACGGAAAGTACAGTTCTCCTTAGTCACTCACTCTCTCACACACTATAAAACTGCCTCACAGCTTTCCTTTTTACCGTTGTTAAAATAAAGCTTCTACAAAACCAGCTAAGCTTGCGCACACAGTTATTGCAAACAGAAAGTAGACAGAATTATCAGTAACTTCCATGGCTGCCAGTAAAATGTTCATAATGTTAAAAGACATATTGCAGGAGGGCTGATATATGCAAACAAATGCACTTACTTCACATAAAGAGCTTCAGCTGCAGAGTTTGAGAAGCTTTCTGTGCGTGTGATGCTAAAAGCAGGACTTCAGTATGTCCTACCGCTTCAACTCCAAGTAAACCAGTGTTAAAGGATCAGTACTGGTCGGATGTTTCTCGCTTTGCCTGGGTTGACGTAGAATGCAGGGCAAAAAAAAAAACTGTCAAAACCGCACATAAAGAGCTTCTAACACTAGAGGGAGCTGTTGACAACATGACTTTGTGAGATGGGATGCAGGGCAAGGGCACAGTCGTTTTAACAGTCACTTGACTTCACCCGTTCCAGGAATTGAATTTTAATCAAGATTGTCAAATTTGGATTAATTGAATTAAAAAAAAAAAATGCATTCCTTTGAAAAAAGTTTCAAAGACAAACTTTGATCGATACAAAGAGAAATATGTTGCAAAATGCGAGAACTAAGAGATAAGAACATTTCAAAAAACACAATTCTGTTGCTCCCTGGCAGCAAAATATACGTAATGAGATGTGGTTCAAGACTTTTCCACAACACTATATGTCACACAAAGCTACAGTAAAACAACAAAATACATTACATAATGGATATCGATTGCGGATTTTCTCCCATATCACGTATCATTTGTCTAGCTGTTTGATGTACCAATATGATAAATATATGTTACAGGTGGCTGTAGATATTCACTGTTGTTTCTCTCTCCAGACCTTCCATGGAATTTTATTTATCCCATAACAAATAAACCAAGCAAATAATTTCATTTCACGGGTGCAATTAAATCCCTTGCGTGTAAATTTAACGTTTAGTACTCAGCAGCCATGTGCAGAAAGAAGCCATTGCGCACGGGAGACTGTCTGATTTGCATGCGCCAGTTTTATGCTTTCGCGCATAGCTCTCTGCGAGAAATCCTGCTCTCACGAAAAAACAACTTTTGACTGTCTGGACGCGAAGCCCAAAGGAGGACGGGGTCCTAATGTGATTGGTCACTTTAATGGCCACTTCAGGGTACTGCGGAAACTGAGTTACACCTGAGGAATTAAATTGCGGCCGAGAACAGAAATAATTTCACTGGCGTAAAAAAAAAAAAAAATCATGACAAATATAATTCCATGGATAATATTCATTTGATTTAGGGTTTTTTTTTAGGCCTTCTCTTGTACACTTTCTTCAGGCTTTTTAGGGACACACCGAGACCAGAGTAATATTTTTAATTATAATCAGAAATTCTGTGTCCAATATTACAATACACCCACAGGACCAAAATTATTTAATTAAATTACTTTACTTGTTGTTAAAGATGCGCAAGGAGCTTTAGAAACAAGCCATTTAAAACATCTTACAGCCGGTAAATTTCGTTGATGAGGTCTACTGGTCTCCAGGTTTCAGTTGCAACTTGAAGCCTGTCTACTGGTTTGCTCAATTTTCTTCTTTTGACAGAAAAATTAGTCTTTAATTATCTTTGCAGTGAAAAAATGCTTAGATTTGAAAAAAGAGAGCCTTATTATTACATGCATAAAGATAAAACATAAAGCCTAAAACTCAAACCTGGCAAAGAATGTAAACAAACATAATTAAAAACATCTATACAACAACATCAACAGCACAAACATTTAAGAACAAAAAGTAAAAACAAGGAAAGCAGAACAAATGGTGACTAAGCAGTGGTATAAAAAAGCATTCATATCCCCGTTATGCTGTTACTGCTTAATAAAATCCTTGCCTTCAGGAGTTTTGTAATCAATGAAAAGAGTGTAGGAACTTTAATCTCACTTTAAATACAGGTGTTCTGTGAAGGTCTCAGAGATTTGTTGGTGATCATCAGTGAATAAAAAGCATCATGAAGATTAAGGGATGCACCAGACAGGACGGGGATGAAGTTATGAAAAAGTTTAAAGCAGGGATAGGTTATAGAAACATTTCCCAAACTCTGAACATCTCACAAAGCAATGTTTAATGCCTCATCTGAAAATTGAAAGAGTGTGGCACAACTGCAAACTACCAAGGCATGCTCATCCACCTAAACTGACAGGCTTGACATGCCTACTTGCAAAATGCTGTGTGGTGGAAAACTAACACTGCACCCCATCCCCACCATCAAACATGGTGGTGGCAGCCACATGATGTTCAACCTGTTCAAGGCTGCAAAAGGATTATGACTCAAACAGGGGTCCAGATGTAATTATTATTGTGAATCTCTGGTGAGACTAGAAAATTGCCGTTAACAGAGGCTCTCCATGCAGTCTGACCGAACTGAAGCTATTTTGGAAAAAAGGAATGAGCAAAAAATATAGTCTGTAGAGACATACCTGAAAAGACTTGCAGCTGTAATTGCAGCAAAAGGTGGTTTGATAAAGTATTGATTCAGGGGACTGAATACAAATACATGCCACGTGTTTCAAATTTGTAAAAAATGTTTAACACCATGTATCATTTTACTCTCACTTCATAATTTTGCACCACTTTATGTTGGTCTATTAGATAAAATCTGAATAAAATACATTTTGGTTTGTGATTGTAATGTGAGAAAATGTGGAAAAGTTCAAAGAGTATGAATACTTTTTCAAGACACTGTAACTTTCAGGCTTGATTATTGTTTGGCCAACTGATCAGTATGAGAGTAAGATAAGATAAGATAACCTTTATTAGTCCCACGTGTGGGAAATTTGTTTTGCTACAGCAGAAAGTGGACAGTACAAAGTTAGAGTAGAGTACAGAGTAAGTAACAGTTTCCTAGTGACTGGTACAAAATTGAATGTTTTAATGTTGTAATGCTTTCTGTTACACAGAACTGTGACTGAATAAAAGCAGTCCTTTGAATAAGACTGGTATACAACTCCATCTGTTTTATTCGGGGACTCAAGTGTATTACACCGAATTTGTATCCATGCTGCTTTTGGAAATAACAGAATTTCCAGACGATGTGGATCCCAAAGCACTCTTAAATGAGGATTTTTACTTTCAATTTTAAGAGATAAATACATTTTTGCTAATTAATGAAATAATTAAATTCATTGCAGTTTTTTCCTCACAAAATTTCTTAAATTCAAATTCAAATTCAAATTTTATTTGTCACGTACACAGTCATACACAGTACGATATGTAGTGGAATGCTTGGACAACTGCTCGTGACCTAAAGAAAACAAAAAAGGAAAAGGCTATGAATAAGATAGGAAATAAATATGAAAAATTAAAAAGGGTAAATTTAACTAGGAAGGAATAAAATATAAATTAAGGTTAAAAATGAAATAACTGTACAACACAAATTAGAATGAAGGGTAAATTTAACTGGGAAGAATAAGATAAAATATATAAATTAAAGTTGAAAATAAAATAACTGTACAACAAAATACACAATACACAATATAGAACTATATAAGAATGTATGAAGAAATCTAAATATAAATAAATATATACACAATAACAGCAGCTGTACAAGTATTAACCGGAAATGAAGAATATAGTGACCAGTGTTGTGCAAAAACAAAGTCCAGAAAGTCCAGTGTGTGTGTAAGAACTATATGTGTGGGTCAGTACTGTGTGGTGGTGTGATTGAGAGACCGTATCGCCTGCGGGAAGAAGCTCCTCCTCAGTCTCTCTGTGTTGGTCTAAAGAGTTTTTTTTTTAAAACTATCCACAAAGCACTACATCTTTTAAAATTGAAATTTACAATCTGCAGAGATTTACACAGTTCATTTAGCATGTTCAAACACTTCTTAAAATTGACACATTTAAAAACCAACTCTTAAAAAAATTACTATCAACTATATGGATAATTGGTGGAAAATAATGTACATAGTTTGGAAATACTGTATATTGTTGATGAGGGAATAATAAATGGCACTTTTGCTGATGTAAAAGTTTTAGCTGTATAAAGAACATGTGGAACATTATAAAAAATGTTTTAGACATAAACACACATTTTAAGCAAAAATCTTAAAAGCAAAAATAAAATTAAAATAACAAATTAACAATTAAATAAGTCAACATGTTCCTTTATGGCGATTTTACTTTCAGTCTGAAGGCTACTCCGCAGCACTGACTAGAGGACAGGAGCTGGAGATGTTCCTATTTTCATTCGAGTGAACAAGACTAGAAATGAGTACATCAGAGAGATGGCCCAGGTTCAATAGTTTGTAGACAAAGTTAGAGAGACATGGCTGACATGCTTTGGACATATGCAGAGGAGAGATTGGAGATATAGTGGACAAAGAATGCTGAATGTGGAGATGCCAATCAGGAGCAATCCACCGAAGAGATTTACAGATATAGTGAAAAAGACGATGAAGAGGGTTGGTGTGACAGTGATGGATACTGAGGATAGGTGAAAATGAAAGCAGATAATCTGCTCTGGCGACCCAGCTGAAAGTAAAAGTAAAAGAAGATGAAAACATAGATAGTGTGAGTATGTGTTACATCGATTATGTTGATTAGAGGTAACCATTTGGGAGAGACGTCTATTTAAATTCAGTTTGAATTATTGTTATTCTTGGTCAAAGGAATAAAAAATACAAAGAAAAACAGTTTCAATGGTTTTTCTTGGTGTGGCCATTAAAGTGTTAATTCATTAATTGTCAATCCATAGTCAGGAGTGTAACAATATTGTGCTCACATCTGAGTCACAAGAGGGTATTTATGTCTGTTCATCTTCACTAAGCTAACAGATTCTCTACAGCCATCATCCGTTCCAGCTCTTGGGTAGCGGACGGATGTACATAGAGCAATGAAAATCCAGTCAAAGTACACCAAAGTCCGCTGATTCACCCAGTCAAGAATTATGCTTCTAGTCCACCTGTTTTTGAGTTACACAACGTTTTGTAACTCCAAAAAACGGCGTTTTTCGACCGCTCACCGCGATCTAAATTCTGACTCGCTGATCACCCTGTTTTTCAAAGCGGCCGCCCCTTTCTCAGTGGCGCGTTGTAATGACACGGTCTTCAGACCAAAGGTCTGGGTTCGATTCCACCTTGGTCAACATGTTTTTTTCCTAACTACAAATTAATACACTGATCACAGACCGTAATTCATATTGATCAATTTATTACATTTCTGCAAATTTTATGATTTTACCAGCTTTTCTAATATGGACCTCAATTCTTGTTAACAGTCCATGGCACGAAATACTCTTCCCTTTAGGCTCTCTGTGTATGTGTGTTGTGTATCAATATTTCTCCATTTTAAAGTATTACTCCTCATATCATAGTATTTCTGTTAAACAAAGTACTTTTACTACATCTTAGTACTTCTGCTAATCATAGTATTTTGCAAATCATAGTATTTCTGCTACTTTTTGGTACTTGTGCTAAATACAGTATTTCTGCTAAATCATACTATTTCTACTATATTATATTTTTCTTTCTAAATATAGCATTTCTGCTATATAATTGTATTTCTGCTATGTTATAATATTTGTGCTAAACCAGAGTATTTGTGCTGACATAGTATTTCTGCCAAATGATAGTATTTCTGTCAAATTATAGTATTTGTGCTAAAACATAGTATTAATTTAAAATTACAATATTCATAGTTCATCACAGTGTCTCTGGTAAATCACAATATTTCTGCTTGTTGTACTATTTTTCTAAATCATAGTGTTTCTGTAATGTTTAAGTATTTTTGGCTAAATATATTCTTTCTGTTATCTTATACTATTTCTCCTAAATTCTTGTATTTTTGAGAAGTTATCATGTTTCTGGTAAGTTACAATATTTCTGCTAAATTCTGCTATGCTATTGTATTTCTGCCAAGTATTATGTTTCCTCTAAGATATTGCAGTTCTGCTAAGTTATTCCATTTTAGCAAAGTTCTTTTGCTTCTGCAAAGTTTTTACAATTTCTGCAACTTTTCAGCTTTTTCAGCTACTTTTTGCATACAGCTTCAGCTTTAAGCATCCACACTGCATTTTCGCAGGAAATGCAAATTTTTCTAGTTATTATTTTATTTGCTCCACTTTCACTTAATCACTTCATTTTAGATGTTCACGTAAATTTCTAGTGACTACAAATCTGGAATTTCTAACAAGGTCCAAAACAGAAAGTGAAGCTTTACTTTATTTTAGTTTCAGCTCTCCATTGTGTTATCCTTTGTTTTCTTCATGTAATATGCAGTTGTTTGGCAGCAGGACTAGAGCAGAGCATGGGAGACAGAAGTAAAACCAACCAAGTACTGAGGAAATCCGAGAGCTTAAAAACACATGAAATAAAAAAGGAGAGAGGAATTAGCCTGGGAAAACACAAGAAATCTTAAATAAGACTACTCTTAACTAAGGACAAAGAAAAACAAACTCGAAACACTGGGTCAAAGACCAAGGACCATGGCACTACATCAATGTTTTAGATAAAAATAATGCAGTT